CTCACGGTGTTGTCGCTTGCAGATTTCTTATACTTTTTCTTCTGCCCTGAAGATGGGGGCAATACGTTCCTCCGAAACGTCGGTTAACACCACATATACACGGTGCCAAATCCCAGAAGACTGCTTTCTTCATAGTCACCGCCGTGAAAGCCTCAAATCTTACACTAATTAAATAATTTTCCTGGGGAATAAAGCACGGCCAGTGCGTAAGGCTGACAACCTTACCGCCATCTTTGAGCCAATTGTCTATATAATGTGGGACTGTCAACGTCTCACAACCATATGGACTTTTATGGCCTGTTTCAGGGACAGCTTTACTTACTTTACTTTTTTAATGAAAAATTAATGGAGAAGGTGTGGAACGAACTGGGTAAAGGTAAAAGGCAAAGTTTCTCTTGTCCTTTATTATACACCATGAAGAGTGGAGATAAAATCTCACACATTCTTAACCACAGCACCAGACAGCAATGGGCAGCTACCTGACCTTGGGTAAAGAGCTCTGGTAACCACCTGACAGGCTGTGCCCCAAAGGCAGTCTGGTTACTAAGCATGGAAAAAATTTTTTGGTCTGCGGGGAACTGAATCTATATTCCTCAGTTGTGCAACATGCAGCCTAGCCTGCACAAGGCAGTCATTGCCAATTCTAAGGTATGGGAGGGACTGAGGAAAACTAGTGAAATCCTTAGTATAGCCAGCCTCCAGGATGATATTTGAAGTGGGGACTTCTGAGTATGGTGCTACAGACCTGACTGCAGCACTTACAACACACAAGTTATCGTAACAAGCTTAACATATTAACCCTGTGATTACTTTTGTTTACAGACTTCAATTTTTACTGAACACAGAAAACAATGTCCCACAAATCTATGAAGATCTTACCTGGCCATCTGCATTCTTCCAATGCCTGTACAAGAGATCTACGGGAAACATTTCTGAATGGAATCCATGACTCTGAAGTCCCAGTCTGAGGCCAGTAAACAGAAGAGTCAATCCTTGCCTGTCTTTCACTACAAATTCTGTGTGGTCCAGCTCCAGAATGATATCTTTCCAAGGCAAATTTGGAACCTGGAAGCACAAAATCAATCAAGCGCACACATAACGTTTTGTACACATGCAGTTTCTATTTGGCTTCAACAGAGCTAACTTTCTTACTGTGACAGATCCATGCAACAAGACCATAACCACACGCCTATATAATATAAGTACCTATACTGAGGCCACAAACACAAGCCCCACGAAACACAGGGATAATGGTTGAGGCTTCCCACTCTTTCAACCTCATACGCAGTTATTAACAATTGTCATTAGTGTCTAAACAAAATGGCTGGAAGAACGGAGCAGGACATAGGGAAGGTGAACAGCTCAGGATGGATACAGATGAGTTGATCCACGGGTCTTCTTTCTGTAGCCTCTGTGTACACAAGGCAAAGTCGCTCCTGTGCTTAATTATGCACCAAACCAAACAAGATGGCATGCAGAGGTTAGCTTCACACCCTAGTCTACTTCATCCTCAAGGGAACAACAGTACTCGCAAACAGGAGGCTGTAAAACCAGAGGTGACATGACCGCTATGGGGAAAATAAATTCCTCAACATCCATCCTGCAGCCTAGTTGCTACTCTGACTAAGCCAGATATATTTCTGAAGCCCAGAGGGCACAGGTGAATATACTTTATGCACAACCAGAACTGCACGCATCTTCACAAGTGATACACTAAAATACTGAAATAAGAATCCTCTTGTGACTTCAATGACCTCACGACAACAATGTACATAGTGTGGGATCGACAGGAACAAGAAATGAACCAAATGGGTCTGTTCTTGCAACATCTCTTACAATATGAAGATGGAGAAGATACGCTTAACAGGATTGTCACTGGGGACAAATCATGTGTGCACACTACAACCCGAACCAAAATTCTGCTTCAGTGCAATGGAAACGAATGTGTGGAAGTGACTGACATAATATTCAAAAGATTTCTATGCTGTGGGTTTCAAGGCACTGGTAGAGCGAAGGCACAACTGTATCAAGGCTGATGGAGGATATGTCAAGAAATAAATGTTTCCTCCAGGTTCGAATATCACGTGTTTTATGTTTCATGCCCATCTGTGTCCCATTTACTGACTCTCCCTCTCATATGGTGCATCAATACAAACGCACAGTTTTACGTTCAGCAGGCTACGTGCATGAATGGCTTACCAGTTCCTTCACCGTCTGTACAAATATTTCTACGTTCCATGAAGTAGGATGATTGGCATCTGTGGTTCCCTTGTCTTTTGAACCTGAATCTCCAGCACTGCTCCAGAAGCTGGCGGGAGTCTGGATATTTTGCAGGGCCACCTGCTCCTCAAGGCCCGTGTGTGTGCGAACCATCATGCCCAGTACACGAGCCACTGCTGGTGGTGACATTTCACAAGCACCAAGATTCACAAGACTATTACGACACTCTTCAAGCGATGAACAGAACCCATATCCTATCTCCATGATCAGGTCTGCTAATGAACCATCCAACTGAAATTACAGTGGACTTGCGATAAACATACACAGTAGATAAAAGTGGTGAAGACGAAAGATGTTCGTCTTAGGGAGACAACCCTGGGGCGACTGTTTCTTCCTTTTACATTTCCACACTGCTTCACCTATTTCAACCAAATTTGGCAAGACAGAGGAGTACCTAACCTGTCAATGTCTTAGATTCTTGAAAATCCCCCCCCCCCACCAAAAGTTAACATGTGAGAACAATTTGTTCTAGCAATGAAGATTCTACGGTGTGTGCTGGAGCTTCGGGGAGAAAAGAAGCCCCATTTACTCCATATGTCTATCTGTTATCATTTTATAGATATTTAATTTTCAATTTTCTGAAAATAAATGGCAAAATTAAGAGTTACGCTGTAATGCATTACCTTACAATTCTATTGCATTATATTAATACCTTAAGGGCCCAGCTTGTAACTCTTCAATGTGTTATGTTTCCTATTATATACATGCACTACACTCAGCCACCACTGGGTTAATCAGCTAACTGCGCATATCTCAGTGGTTTTACTCCTGAAGGGTCAACGTACAATCTGTGTGAACACGACTTCTGTCCAGTAATTAATAGTCTAACAAAAGAAGGACAAAAGTATAGTACACGCAGGAAAGGAGCTACTGTGCCGAGAAAAACCAGTCACTGAAGTGACTGACTGACTTTCATTAGTTCGAAATTGACTGATGTTGACCTTGGCCTTTGGTAATAAATTATTTTATAATGCCAAAAGGAACAGGGCAACATTACACCTTGCCAGATTAAGGTCTGTTGGCAGCACTGAAAATGTAAGTGGTATTTTGGAATTAACAAGAGACAGGCATAACTTTTATCAACATACATATGTACATTATATTCTGTGGGAACTGAGTTAGTAAAAAAATGACTGATCATTGTAAGAAACAGAGAATCATGTACTACAATATTGCAAATGCAGAGGGCATAAAAAAAATTAAAGAGTTAACTGAAATACTGACGAAAGCAGGAAGAAAATATTTCAGGATGTTCTACCCACCAAGACCTTCAAACATACATTTCAACATACCATTGTGTTAGTCATGGTTGAATTGTCTTGGTTAACTTTATCCATAGGCAGATCTGGTTTATTTGGATATAACAATGGAGCCAAGACAACAGGTACTAGCTCTCGAGGAAAATCACGACGAAGACTTTTCAAGAATGTTTCTCTTGTTTCAGTTACTATTCCTGAAAATGAAAAAATATATATATAAAGCTGCAAACATACATTTGAACATGATATACTAGAATTCCATTTTTATTTATATAGAGATGCTTATTACCGAACTGATCCTTCGGTCCGTAAAGAAGATTTGTCAGTATCAAATGCAAAACTTCAGGAGCGGCTTCGTGGAGCCCTCCCTCCTGTTGGCTGCTGCTGCTCTCTGTTGACAAGAAAACAACTCTCATGTAACAACTCCAGCAATTCACATGCACATATGTTTCGTAATGTGGGGTCACATAAAATCAAAATTTTCTGGACTGCATTAAGTTTAACATCCATGCCAGAACCTGATGCTACTGTGACCATGCATTTCACTATCTTGACAGAGCATGCGTATGCTCCAGTTCCCCTGCGGTCCCATGTTTTAAATACAAACAACATTATCCCCAAGTTAAAAATCCAAAAACAATTTCCTGAAGATCGTGAGCTTCTAAGATGTGACAATATGTAATCTTGCAGATGGCTGCCAATACTGCCTCCCACTTCATGGCAGAAGCCACTTCTATCCTGAAGACAGATGATAATATTTCACACCCTAGAAGGCCATAATCTTAATATTCTCCACATGATCCCGAAATCCTAAAAGTTTTCTCAATTGTACACTATTCAAAATACACCAAAATTCCTGTCCACAGGCTTGAATCCAGCTGCTTTTGAGACAGAAAAATCGTTGGTAACAATAACTGTTCTCATGTATATAGTCTCCTTCAGCTCTGACGTCCAGAGTATGACAGGTTTTGCCATTAACTTCCGCTGGCTGAACAAGCCTCAGAACACAATGCACTCTGCAGGCAAGAGCTCACCACTCTAGATGAGGCCATATGAGACACAGGCCAAGTTCATTCAGGAAATAACCTCCATCAAAAATTGTTTTCCCTTCTTGATGACACTTCTTATAAATGAGCTACTAAAAAGATGTCCAACACCATAAACACCCAGCATGTGTTCACAACACGGCCATAAATTCGTAAAGTTAGAGGCAGAACAGAAAACTGTGATGTCAGAAGAGGATAGGAAAGGGTCACAACAATGCAGAGATATTACAAGGCACGTTTCTCTTTGTGGAAGTAGGCTCAAGCTGAAACTGAACAAATGACTTACCAGTGTCTATATATGATCTTATTAAGTCAGGTAACTTTAATTTCACAAATTGGGAAGCAAAATTCTGCGTATCTGGATTTGAAGAATGCAGAAGAGCTAGGCCAAATACCACTTCTTGCACTGGTGTAAGCTTCAATACTTTGCTCAGCAGAGAGAACAACTGTGCTGAAGGTTTCAGGGCCTGAAAAGAAGTCAACAGCACAAACAGCACAATATTAGGAGAAGAAAATCACCTATAGCTATCACGCAACATCTAACAACTCAAAAACTGCATGTACTTATTACAAAACATGGATAATAGAGATTAGTCATAAGTCCTCATTCTGTTATATCCCATTTCGTAAAACATTTAATACTGCTGTACAAGAATACAATTCAATATTATGGCCAACTTTAGACTTTAAACATTAAAGTGGTGTACCAACAAAGTGTGTTGGCCTGTGCAACATATTCATCAAGCAGCCCACTCGCATCGAGGCAGGATATGGATATCAAAACATTTGTGTACAGAAACTGAATACATAAACTCTGAAAATGCATGTTCACATGCAAGAACTTTCTGGATATAAATATCCTCAAGATATTAGTACAAATATTATGTTTTGGGACATAATCCATCCTTGTCTTCATCTAAAGCCCGTCCTGTTTATTTTTCAAGACACTATGATTCGGAGACTGGATTCTGTCTCTGTCTTCAGGTAAAACCTATGGTTTTTAGACAAAGACAAGACGATGGATAATGTCCAAAAACATAATATTTGTCCTAATGTACCGTCATGACAGACTTTTAGATCTTGAACACCTGATTGGAGAAGGGATACCTCAGACTACAGAATCCGAACATCATGATGTACAGATAAATCATGATGAAACACCCCACAGCAGAATTACAGTACACAAACACTAGAAAGTAGATTAATGCATTGCTCAGAAGCATGGCAAATGCCATCCACAAATAAAAAGGAAGATTGTGGCAAATGGACTTTTGTAGACTACACAAAACTCCACAATGAGCATTACAGATAAGGCAGACATCAGAAAAATGGAATAAAACAGGTAATGTTACATAGATTTGTGCAAGTATATAAATAATAACAGAATGTTTCACTTGTAAGCTGAAAATGTTGTAACGTGGTCATAATCATCTTCACGTGAGTGGTAAGATAAACACGTACCACACTGGGCACAGATGGTGATGCTATTCAGTGTGAAGAGGCTATGTGATTAAGGAGAAAATTAGGAAGAAAACAGTGGAAAAAATACCTAAAATGGAGACGGGTATCACCATAAAATAAAAGGACAACATGAAATGATATAATTGAGATAACAGAAAGCAAGGAATCTGGATAAGAAAATGCTAATGGAATAAATTCGTTTGGGAACTAAAGCTACATAAAACCAATGTACCAACAAACCCTACCTTCTGATGATGCAAAGGATTATCAAGCGCGTAACAGAGATTCGAGATGAGGGTGGGCTTCGTTAACAAAGCCACACACTCCTGGGCCAGCAGCTGGATCTGATGGAAATCTTTACTGCTGCTGGTTTTGCTCCCCTCAGCACTGAAGTCTATGTGTGAGAAGAGACAACGCAGCAAGTGTCTATCTGCCTCGAGACCGTACGATGTCACCAACTGGCACAAAAACAGAAGCATGCTCTTTGACAACACACCTCAACCCAATGTGATGCAGTCCTTCAGCGCCTCATTATTTTAAAACAGACATGTCGGTCTCCCGCGGATATGGTTGCCAAACTTTAAATATGGAATAACACTTGGTTTCTATCGAGTAAGATTCAGAACGGGGATTCAAATCACACCCAAAACTCTACCACAGCACTTGCACACCATCTTGCACACTGGCAACAAAGAGAAAACTTCATAATACGAGTAACTTTGGATACATAAAAAACAAATAAATCTGGAAATCTGTTGAACACACCTCTCATATCTGTGTCTCATCTCTCACCAAATAAGGGTAATGATAACCTTGTCTCCACATTTAATTAAGCACCATTACATAAAGACACATGGAGAAGTGTAGGTGTAACTCCACACATTTGTTTTGTAATGTAAGTCAAGCCTGGTCATGGAAAGAGAATCCCCCTTCCCCTCTGACAAACAACTACACTTCCTCTACATGGCTCCTCCTTCTCCTGCTAATTGTCATGTTCTGCCTTTTGATCCATCTAAAGACTCTCTCACTTTCTCCATTTTAAGTTCATTATTGATATTCAAAGGGCAGAGTGAAGGGATGCAGGCACAATGGGGTTTCAGCGGCAAATTTCAAACCCCAACACCAGTGCTCATTCTTTCCCTGACCTGAATGTAAACACAAAATGGACAAGAATGATTAGCTTCTACGTATCTTTCATAGTGCTTTGTAGGTAGGGATCATACATCTACAGTGTTAAATACTCACAATGCAACAAAGCAGATAACCCTAGCATTAATTAAACATTCACCCAAAGAAATACTACTTGCCACAAGAAATCTGTCAAGAAGCCATGCATAAAAATCTGCAGAGACAGAGGAGTCATTCATCAGTAATCTGTCAGACGAAAAGTCCACAGTCTATTCCAAAACAGTTCCTCCACTTAATGTGATCTCAAGCTTTCTCCTCCAATTAAAATATCTTCTGTCCCCAAAGGTCATCCAGCATCTTCTTACGTCTCCTTCCTTGTCTACTGGGCACTTCTATCCGCCCCTCCAGTTTGTTTTGTCTCCAGAGAAAACAGCTTGCATACATGTTATCTCTGTTTTTGGAAAGAGACTATCCAGGAAAAGTGATAATGTGGTAGCTTTTCCATTTGCTTTCCACATCGCAGTACAACAGCTGTTCAAACCACTCTGGTCATGCCTGTTGCTATACTAACTTGAACCATCTCAAGTATCATTTGCTCTGTGCTTCAAGTTGCTGCTTCCGGCATCAGTTTTTGGTTTTTGGTGTCTCTCTTCGTCTGATGCCTACCCTTTGACCTGTCCAGCAAGGGAGGCTCTGCCAGTAGCTACGCTACCGCTGGTATAGCTCTCAGGGTCCTTGGCATACTCAAACCCCCTCACCAGGATAAGGTGGACACACCAACGAGGGGAGACAGAGGATATGATATGGAAAACGTAGATAAAGGGAAACTAGGATTCACTGCTATCATCGTCTAGGAAATCAAAGGCTATTCACTTGTAGTGGGTCACACAACTATACTTGGGTTAATCTCTTACAAAGAAAGGAATGAGTTTCATTTCTGTCTTCCTAAAAATCACCAAAAATGTATAAATACTGGTTTGTTAACTTCGATGCAACCAACTCGGAATTGCATTACAATAAAATGCGTGATTCGACATAAAACGTGTCGATAAGAAACAAATGAGAGCATCTTTCTATGTTATTAAAACGCAATTTGACTCCGAAACTATACAAAATTGGAAGAACTGCGCACATTTCATTAGAAATATTATAACAGAACAATGCTTAAACAACAAAATGCGTTGGCCTAAGAGCATTGACACGGAAACTCCGCTTGCAATCCATCTGCGTAATTCAGAAACCGCGAAGCATTTGTACAGTTTACTACAATAATTATAGGCTACACACTGACTTTACTTACATGTGATAACTCCTGAGTACTTTGTTTGTAATTTTTCTTTGTTAAATTTGCAACCAAATAACTTATTTGTGACAAAGCAAAAGACAACGAGTCCAGGTTCATAGTTCCATGAATACGGCCTCGAAAGCTTCAAACACGTTTGAAGCTTTCTTTGGTATCCACGAAATGCTTCCCTGGGATATATTCTTGATGAAAGTGTGATTACTACATTGATAAAGGCCTAAGTCCAACATCGGGATGAATATTTTATATTACAATTTCACATCAACATTATGGCGAACACAACAGACAACAAATACGAACTACATATGAATATGCGATTTTGTTTCGGTTAAGTTCGGTTAAATTCGTTTCTTTTCAACGAGCATGTGCAGAGTGCAGCACAGTGCAAGAGTGGTTGTTAGTGGTTGTTAGTGGAAACAGCTGACAGGGATTTGATTGCATCCGTTGTTGCTGTAGTGATTTAATATCTTCCTTGATGTGTTGCACCAGTATTTCTACATAGTTTTCATATTGATAATGGTAACTTAATCCATCTGCAAGATGTCACGTCATAGAATTGTACGAGCAATGGATTATTCTGAAGGTATGACTTTTCTTTTTATGTGACGCAAGTACACCTTAGTGACTGGGTCAAGAGAAAATTGATCCCAAGCTAAGACAAATAACAGTGCAGTAACTGAATGTGTTTTCTTACAGAGTATGATGGGTTTGATGATGTTTACGGACATTCTGTGGAAGATGATAACTGCATCTCACCGAGTGATGGTAAGGAATATAAAGAAGAAGTTCTTGTTCCCTTTCACTACAAATTGAGTATTTGATATGACAAGTGGGATAAAACTTGTTTATGTATGCATAAGTAAGCCAGTAAAACAAAGATATTGTGACACGATGAGTACCAAGGACAGCCATTGCATGATTATAGTTTTATGTATTCTAATTCTTACATTTTTAGACAGCAGATGAGAAGACAAAAAGGTTCTGCCCTGAATGGTACCAAGTAGTACCCGAAATCAGTGAACTTTTCGGTGGGTTTCCTTGTCACCATGGTGTGGCTCATCCTTAGGTTGTAGTTGGAGGTGATATAATCAATAAGCAGTTGCGGACATGTGACAAGGGGTGCTCCTCTAGCTTGGGGGTTGAGCATGGGGCTAACAACTCCTCACCATAAGAAATCAGCATGTTATAAAATGTCACAAAGAACTTTTTTAATTACATGAGTAAACTTTAATTTCCTAATTTGAGTGTTATATCTGCATTGAAGTTTTAACTACTGTGTGTTGTGATACTGAGAAAGAAAACAGCTGTATTCTGGATGATGTTAGTAGTAAGGTCTCTACCGGCTTATTTGTTGCAGCTGCTCAGTTTATGTTCGACCGTACGAGGCAGCCTCAGATGTCAGCCTTTTTCAATGAAGAAAATGACATTGCAGAAGAGGATGAATCAAATCCAGAGAGATCCGGACAAGTCCGACATTCTGGAGTGTGCCAACGGCACGGTCTCAGCGAGGTGGATGAAGCACGGTTGCGATCATGCCTTGAAGAAATACACAATGTCATTGGTGATTCAGTTCCAGAGCAAATTCTGGTAGACACAGTTCTGCAGAATGAGTTTAATTTGGAAAAGGTGCTGGATGCTGTATTGAGCAATGCACCTTCTGCTGCAGAGAAACCACCTGCAGGTGAATTTTGTGCAGTTTTATTGAGGAAAGGAGTAGCATTTACAGGAGTAGTGACGTACAGATATCTTTCTTATTCTGTCAGTAGTAAGTAAAGGCTCACAGATGGCGGTAAGGTTGTCAGCCTTACATACTGGCAGCCCTTTACCCCCAGGAATATTCCTAGTACTCTTTTCTGTTAGAGGCTGAGTCGACCCCAGGGCCATAATGTGGCTAGAAGGATTAGGTCAATTGAAAAAATCCACCTCATCTGGACTTGAACCTGCGACCTTCCAGCTTGTAGCATCGTGCCTCAACCATCTACACTACCAGGCTTCTGAAATCATAGTTTCCTGTATAGGTCCACTGTCGAAAGCCATCCAACACTGACTCACATTATGATTGTGTGCAGAGTGTTAAGGCTCTGCTCTTTATATTGTCTTGCATATGTTTCAGTAGTTTGTGTATAGGAACAGCAAATGGCAGGGGGTTTATAGTTTTCATACAAATTAATTTGTGGCCAGTATGAATGAGGCTGACAACAAGAATGATGGAAAAGTGTTAACCCCAATCAAACAGATCATCAGAGCAGGAAGCCATTTTCTTACACTCTTTGATTACCAGGTTCAACAATTTTGTTTTAATTTTGAATTTGTACTACTTCATGTTTTTGCAGGTGCTCCAAAACCACAGCGGGAGAAGAGAAGCAGAGATAGAGGTAAGAATCTCTGTATAGTTCTTCCAGCATTTTCAGACGCATCATTTTCGTCATCAGTATTGAGTAAGATTAAACAAGTAGAAACTGAATCTTCCATCAACCTAAACATTCCTGGATTTCAAGTGAAGGCAAGAAATGATCCAGAGAAGGAGAAACTCGCAAATGGATATTGTGTTTCTGTGTTGCAATCTCTGAAACATCAGATTCAAATTAAGACAAGTGACTGTGACTCCCCACATGGTATGGCATCTGGTGAATATAATAGTTTATCATCATTGACTGAAGTTCCAAAAAGGCAGACATCAATTATGCAGGAACTAAAATCGTCAGAGCAAAGTAGCCAGTTCTCATCGCTAGCCCAGTTAGCAAACAGACATTCAATAATACTCAAACCAAAATCGTCAGAGGAAGGTAGCGAGTTCTCATCGCTAGCTCAGTTAGCAAACAGACATTCAAAAATAATGGAACCAAAATCATCAGAGGAAGGTAGCCACTTCTCATCACTAGCCCAGTTAGCAAACAGACATTCAATAATACTCAAACCAAAATCGTCAGAGGAAGGTAGCGAGTTCTCATCGCTAGCTCAGTTAGCAAACAGACATTCAAAAATAATGGAACCAAAATCGTCCGAGGAAAATAGCCAGTTCTCATCGCTAGCTCAGTTAGCAAAGAGACATTCAAAAATACTCAAACCAAACTTGTCAGAGGAAGGTAGCGAGTTCTCATCGCTAGCCCAGTTAGCAGACAGACATTTAAAAATACACAAACCAAAACCATCCGAGGAAGGTAGTGAGTGCTCCTCACTGTCAAAGCTGGCAAATATGCATTCAGGGTCTCAAATACAAGCAATTGGACAGCTCTTCCCGCAGACACGACTCACCTCACAACAGCGAGTACATGGAAAAGACTCCATATCCACATTAACCGATTCCTTATCTCAGCATTTGAAAGTTGACGAGAATAAGGTGACCAGTAATGGGAGACATGTAACGGAAACTGCGAGAGCAGAGAGAGCAGGAGAAATATCTTATTCCCAAAATGGATATGTGGACTTGAAAACACGTTTTGTATTTTTGTCCAAAAATGAAACCGAGGTACCAGCCGAGCAAGAACCGGTTTCACCAGAAGGGCAGAGATCTCATGACTTGGCAACATGGTGCTCACAGGCTTCAGACATTGGGAGCAAAAGTAAAATAACCGAGTTATTTCCAGTTTCAGAGAAGACACATGAACTGGCGAGAGACACTAGAACCATTTCAGATTCTAGTTCTAGTGTAAGAGTTGAACCTGGTCCAGTGGTCAGACCTCTGAGTGAAGAAGAAAATGAAATGGATTGGGAAATTGATTTGACAAATGCACTTATACCGCGAGGTTCTAAAACTTCACAGATATTTGCAAATTCGAAACCTGAAGTCACAGACTGGAAGTTACAGGGTGTGGAACAAGAAGTGTGTGCTGGTACTCCTGTGCTTGGAACTCCTGAATTAATGTTGGATTTTGATCTCGCTTCTACCATTTTAAATCAGAAGTTACCGAATCGTAAAAGAAAATCGCCTTTTGGAAGAACTCTCTGCAGGAAATGGAAACAATTGTACACCCCTTATATTCCTCCCCAGAAACAAAGTTTGGGTAAAATCGTGCGTTTCACGTTTAATACCATTTCTCCAGATGATAAGATAGTGAGACATTGGCAGATAAAGTGAAGTGTGAGGAACTTGTCAGTATATGAGAGAAACCATACATTTTGGTAACATTTCTTAGCAAGTGGGTTTAAACGTGACACTGCATACCAGTGTTATGGAGGAATCTGCTTCCTCCATCTTCAGGGTAGAAGATTGTCATGATGGAGCCGGCAGGTTCTTGCAAGATAGTGACATATCTACCACACTTCACAAGGTCACATCCCAGAAGTTGGTAAGCTTAAGAAACTTATTTTCTTGGCACCAACCCTCCAGAAGTGTATTTGTCTGTTTATTTTTTAAGGAAAACAACATTTGGTAATGCTAAACTGAATCAAGATGTAAAACTTGAATACACATGTGTTGTAGGCACACCTACTGGTGCTGCTGACTAATTCAGTGTAACGAGAGTTCCTCTTGAGAGCTAACAGTCAGTCAGTCAGGAAATTGCCCATATTTCATGGATCCCAAGGGGTTCGTTACTGTGTTCAGAAAATGCAACCTGGTCAAGTGGATTAAAACCTGGAAATTACAATTAATCATGTTGCAAGGTAGAGAGCCCTGTGGACTGAAACACTGACCTGTAACCGTGGTTTCATAACCATATTCTATTCGTATTGAATTATTATAAAGGAGACCAATAAGTTGAGAAAAATTTTGCTGTTGCTTTTAAGGGTCATTAAGACCATCAGTGGTGTTGTTCTTCATGTGCAGTAAAAGGTGAAGGGAAAGCTATTCCTGTAACAGGCTGTGAAGGCCCATAGGGTTGTGAGATGTCAAGGCTCCCTACATTTTCTGGGCAGTTGGCTCACAGATGGTGGTGAGGTTTTCAGCCTTGTGTGGTGGCCGCACATTACCCTCAGGAAGATTCCTCATACTGATTTCTGTTAGAGGCTGAGTGAGTCCCAGGGACACAGTATGGATGGAAGGATTAGGTCAATTGGGAAATCCAATAACCTTGTCAGGAATCAAACTTGTGACCATCCAGCTTGAAGCATAGTGCCTCGACCAGCTATGCTATGAGATTTGAATATACATTACAACACTACAAGGAGACCTTTGATTTATTTCTATAATACTTCACAGCAAGTTATGTATAAGAACTATAGAAGTTAAGTCATTATGACAATACATTGTCATTCATGTTTGATTTTATACAAAAATGCTGAGTACTTTCTTTGCACCATATTACAGATTTAGCTTGTGTTACTTTCATGTTGTTTAACCTGTATGTATATGGGACCATTTTCAATTTCATGATAGTCTTACAGTCTGTGTGTTTAGAAATATCATTTTACTTTTTAAGAAGAATGTATAGACTTGTTTTAAGAACTGTATAGGTTATGTATACCATAGCAGTCAATATTAATTTCTGTGTAAGATTTGAGGTTTTCACGGTGGTGACTATGAAGAAAGCAGTCTTCTGGGATGTGGCACTGTGTAGATATGGTGTTAACCGACGTTTCGGAGGAACGTATCGCCTCCATCTTCAGGGTAGAAGGAAAACATAAGAAATCCGCAAGCGAAGCTTGTATTAGTTCTCACGGTCTCTTCGCTTGCAGATTTCTTATGTTTTCCTTCTACCCTGAAGATGGAGGAGATACGTTCCTCCGAAATGTAGGTTAACACCACATCTACACGGTGCCACATCCCAGAAGACTGCTTTCTTCAGTATTAATTACTGTTTGTATTTCCAGTAGACCTTATTTTATGTTATAATATTTTTATTGGTTTAAGTATTTAGATATCAGTGCAATCAACTAACTGGATTCCCTCAGTGTTAGAGACCAAGCAATATTCACAATACTCATACAGTCATAGCAATGAAATTTTGATAATAGGTATTTTAAGTTCATATTCAGTATTGTTTCTTTGTTTTGTCATCTCAGCATATTTAAGTGTGCACTAATTGATAATGTAAGTACACAGTATATTACGCAGGCGTGTGATCACTTAGACTGTCCTTCATATCGCTGAGTGCCTCACTTCATCCACTTGGGCTGTGGGGATTGAGTCTGGTAGCAGAACTGACATGCCTATAGCAGATTACAACAGATGCTAGAGATGCAGCCTGTTACGCACACATTCTTGGCACCACCATAGACGGGTTTGCATATTTACACACCAAAGTTCTGTTTCTGAAATAAAGTAAACTCAAAACCCTGCTCTACTCTGTGAGCCCTCAGAGGCATTTTGGGGGGGGGAATGTTCAAGCCTGGAATCAATTTTATGCAGGTGCTCAGTTGTCATTTTGAATGTTATCGCCCTAACCCTGATAACAGTACAGTTGTTGCTAAGCCTAAACATTCTCCTGATAACATCAGGGATCGTTTTAGTCATCTGCTGTAATTTTGTTTTATTTGTAATGGGCTTGTTGATTCTGCCAGCTGTCAGGATTTTCACAGCATGACTAGAGAGGATGAGCATCAGACTCGTCTGACTCTGTGATTCAAGGGAGCCTCTAAGGTGGTCACATTGTGTGTGTATGTATGTGTGTGTAATTTTTTCTGTCTTTTAATTCTACATTGAAAAGTTGCTGAAATCGGTGCATCTTTTTCAGTCAGTAGAAAAATACTAGACTTTTCTGTTACTGTGCTGTGAATGGAAGAAATAAAGATGTGATTATATATATCCCACATTGTTTTCTGAATGTATACATGAGGATTGCAGCCACAATTTTACGTTGCCGGAGATTCTTCATTGAGAGGCCTTCGAATAAACTCTCTAGGGACAGTATAGGCTGCAGCATAGGGCGTAATGTACATCGAGCTAGGCTCTGTATCTTACGTTCCCCTCGGACACCTCCATATGCAAGAAATGTGGACAGGGGGAGGCCTCCTACCATACACATTGTGAGAGCCCAGCTTTGGCTAGGCAGAGAATAGAGAGATCTTAGACTCTGCATGGTTAGAGCCTACAGATAAAAGGGGGGGGGGCTGGATCAGAATGCTTCTGGCCCTAGCGAGACTGGGGGCACACAGTGGGACGAAGCCATGATCTGAGTGCTTGCAGTGACTGAAGCTCTTATACCCATTTCAGTACCAATGTGATGCAGGTTGTTCCTGCAGAGTTAAATAATGTTGCATGTGTGGAGTATGAAGGTAAATATAATTCCGTTCTCATTTGTCCTCCTTTTCCTTAGGCATTTCCATTATATGTATGTTACCTAGCAACCAGACCCTTACTGATGAAGTTTACTCAAGTGGTACTCCTTCTGGCTTGTATTCAAGAGGGGCCTGGCTTGAACTTTGAGGTTTTTCATAGCTTTCCTGTGTCCCTTCAAGGCAATGCCAGGATAGTATCCTACATTAGACAATAATCACTTTCTTCCCCATCCTATCAAATTCATTCCACATATGATCTGAGTTACTGTACATCGTTAAGTGAGCTAAAAATAAATGTATAGATAAATAACACTCCACCTGCAGGGCCTGTATAATTTCCCACAGCCTCTCCTCCTCAGTTTCCTCCCATGTCCTTCCTTCTGACATCTTGCCTAGCCTCTCATTCCTGTCTTGACCTCGGCCTTCCACTCAGGTGTGTTCATTTTAGGCTCATGTTCAGAACCTTTGGTATTCAAATTTAGCAATATAGAAACAACTTAAATCCCAAGACTAGGAAACAGCTGTTTCCTGTTCAAGTACATATTTCCTTTTCAACATTTTCATGGTAAGCCACTGATTGAAATCATAAACCGCTGAAAGTGACAAATGATGAGATGCTGTATGGGAAGTTATTCATCTAACCAACACAATTGAACGTCACCCAATCACGGTATGTTCCCACCCAGGTAATCTAATGTTTACAAAAAAAAAGTCAAACTTTTCTGTTTCACCATTTCCTACTGTGAACCCAATAGAGAACGCCCAAAGATACTATGAAATTCACTCCGTGCTCTTGCCAATATGTACAGTAGCCATGGCCATTAAGGCAGAGTGCTGTTAGTGTGGGAGAGGTTTTGGGTGCAATTAGAATCCCCATTTCCAGACTAATTTTTAATTATATGAGGTGAGGTAGCTCAGTCAATATAGTGACGGGCTACAGTTTGAATTCTCAGAAGATGAAAGAAGTATTTTTTTCTCCACAATGTCTAGACTGGCCTTGGGGCCCACCTAGCCTCCTGTCCGTTTGGTGTCGGGGGCTCTTTCCCCATGGGTGAAGCTGACAGTTCACCTCCATCTAGTGCCAAGGTCATCAAGAATGGTGAAGTTAAACCTCACCTCCCCATATGACTCCATGGCATGGTGCTTCATTAATTAAGCACAGGGAATTAAATTAAATTAATTTCTTAATTTAGTGCTGTTCCTTTAAAATTCCAGCTATTGTACATTTCAGTACTGGCATAGAAAGCAACCTTATTGCAGATGAAGAGTGGTCACTTCTGTTTGTTGTACGTAAATGTCTAGAAGTTTTGATATTAGCAAGGCATGTGGATGGAACAGTACTGGAGAAAACAAATGAAAGTTCACAGATGATTCTACTGTCTGACCTATGGAGGAAAAGTTAAAGTATGAGATCATACATTTCATTGCTTGCATCGGTCCCTCTCCAGAGAACTGATTGAGACTGAGGCTCTGAGGATGGTATAGACCAGTGGTTCCCAAAGTGGGCTGTACCACCCTCTGGGCAGTGCCAGAGGTGGGCCCATCCAACCATGTTGTTTGCTTATTTATGGTTGAAATAACTTTAGACCAGACATTGGGAAACTAGTATCATGTTATCAAGCCCATCCATCACTTTAAGAATTTACTACAGTGATGTAGATCCTATTTATGGTATCTTAGTGGGTTGCACAAACCGCTATTCTGAAAAATGCTTTTTATAAGGTAGGGCAGGGGGCTCTAGGGATGAGTTTATAGAACCAAGGGGGTGGTGGTCCAAAATATTTGGGAACTGCCTGGTGTAGATATAACAATCGGGGGTGGGGTACTCATTTTGAATTTGAACCAGTACAGCAGCCATCCTGACTGAGGGTTTCTGTGGTTCTCCTTGGTCCCTATACGCTGATTCCAGAAGAGTACCTCAATCCAGCCATGACCACCTCGCAGATCCTTTCCTGTTCATCCTGTCACCCAGTACTCTATAGTCTAGATGTTTACAGCATCATTAAGTAATTCATAGAATAGGAGAAAGCAGCTCATTCATTAACACCACTGGTTTATACTAGGTGCTAAACGAGCTACAGCTGTTCCTGACAAACCTAGAATTGATGATTCCAGTACTAGTGATAAACAGATTGGTGTTGTCCTCGAAGAAAATAAATTTGCTTCAACGCCTGTGGTGAAGGTGGTTCCTCCTGGCACCAAAACTATCAGCATCACAAAGGGTTTTGATGTAGCTCCAGGGAAATCTCAGACAGGTAGGTGTCTGGTTGCAGCTTGTCTCTAGATCACCAGATATTCGTATAAACATGCTGAACTCTTTCAGTTCTGTTCTCCAAAAATAATATGCAGAAAAAATACAGATTTTACTAATTTCTGTTTATGTAAATAATTTTTTACCTAGACGTCAATATAAATTAGTCTCAGCTTGTGAAAGCATGTGTTTAGCAACAATATTTATTTTTTATTTCATAGACATTTGCATTTTTTATGGTGTTCACTCTAGTGGCACTATAAGAGCTAAAGAACTAGTTATCTGTTGAAGAATGCAGTCTTCTGGGATTTGGCACCGTGTATATGTGGTGTTAACCGACGTTTCGGAGGAACGTATCGCCCCCATCTTCAGGGTTGAAGAAAAAGTATAAGTAAATCTGCAAGCGACAACACCGTGAGACACGATAAAGCAGACTAAAGAGTATACCGTTAGAGCAGAGCCTCAAATCTTACATAGTGTTCCTCTATGGGGAGGCTACTCAACGACACATTCGACGACTCGAGACGCTACGAATCAAGAAGACAAAACTACTCTCTACCCTTCCCTTCCTTCTTAGATGCAGAGACCAAAACACCATCCCGCGTTTCCTTCAGTTCAAACACCATATAAATTCTGACGCTGCCGACAGAATCTATAGACGCACGAGCTTCTGTTTGCTCCGTGAACGCATCCACCACACCAGGCGGGAGCTGGATTTTGTATCTAGAGAACTGCTTAAATTACACCTGCGCTTGACCCAGGACTTGTCCGCCGATGACTGGGACCTGATCGACCGAATCACCAGTGAGAAGGCCTTACGCATCGCTGATGACGTAAGAGCCAGGCACTGCAAGAAGTTTCAACGGTTGCATGAGGCCCAGCACCCACCCGGCCCACCTGACACCAAGAANCGTGTCTCACGGTGTTGTCGCTTGCAGATTTACTTATACTTTTTCTTCAACCCTGAAGATGGGGGCGATACGTTCCTCCGAAACGTCGGTTAACACCACATATACACGGTGCCAAATCCCAGAAGACTGCATTCTTCATAGTCACCGCCGTGAAAGCCTCAAATCTTACTTATTTATCTGTTGTTTGTTTACACTGTCACAAGCCCTTAGAAAGTCATGAAGGTTGAATGTACAGTCACATTGGACTCTTCGTAGATTGCAGTGATAATCTGAAGCCTGATTCCGACGCTTCTTCCCTGAGATCTCAGTCTCCATCATCTGGCAGAATTAGTCCAGCCAGTACAGGAGTCGACATTACCGACAGCTCATCTGATAGCAAGGCTCTGCCTGCAAGAGAAGCAAGGACTGCAGGAAGGTGAGAGTGCGTTATGATGCTGATAACGGAGAAGTCACAGCTCTGAGGCCTAACTTCTGACCCAACATATGTATGGCTAGTTCTGAAGGGCTCTAATGGTGGTATATTACACTCGGTACTGCTGGGCTTCTTGTTGCTGTCTGATACACGGTGTTCCAAACAGAACGTCTTCTGTTCTCCGCACTTTTTCACCTGAAGCTGGAAACATATCTAGTTCCCGAAGTTTGTTCATGTTGGAATACCAGGAAATGGTCTTAGTATGTAACAGGGTTTTATATTCTGTAGGTCTCGTGACAAGGTGGATGTCCTGGCGCAGTACCTGCAAGAGCGTGGACACAGCAAGGAACAGCTGCATATGGTTGTGATTGGGCATGTGGATGCCGGCAAGAGCACTCTCATGGGGCACCTTCTGTACCGGCTGGGACAGGTCACCAAGAAGATAATGCATAAATATGAGCAGGAAAGTAAAAAACTTGGAAAACAGTCTTTCGTTTATGCTTGGATTCTGGATGAAACTGGCGAAGAGAGGTAAGACATTCTGCACTGTAAAATTGTAGAGAGAAAACAAATAACTTTCTTTACTGTGAAATGAATTTTTAGGTTAATCAGTCTGATAAGGATATTAATAACTTGAACTTCTCATCAAATTCATTAGAATGATCAAGTCAATGAGATTGAGATGGGCAGGGCATGAAGCATGATGCATGGGGGGAGAAGAGGAATATATATAGGATTTTGGTGAGAAAGCCAGAAGGAAAAAGCCCACTAAGAAGACCTAGACATAGGTAGGAGGATGATATTAAAATGGATCTTAGATTGATATGATGGGGCAGTTTGGACTGGACTGATTTGGCTTAGGATAGATACCAACACTAGGCTCTCACAAACATGGTAATGAACCTTTGGGTTCCATAAAATATTGGTAAATTCTTGAGTGGCTAAGCAACTGGCAGCTTTTCAAGAAGGGTTCAGTTCAGTGTAGTTAGTTAGGTTATTGAGTCAAATAAAATGATGTGAAAAGAGCAGTTTATGTCTGTTGGCTTCTGTAACAAAATGTTTCTTGCTTATGTCTTTCTGCAGTACATCATGGACAGGTTCATTATGCAAGCCATAAAATTTCTCATAAGAAAGTGGAGCATCATCACGCCTTCATCTGCTGCTCCTCCATCTCCTCCATTTTGTACTGGTCAGCTGGTGAAACATCTAAAAAATTGTTATTTTTATAAAGGCTTATTAGTATCCACTGCCAGATTGCTACGCATATCACAGCCTAACCGTTATTTTCATGGATCCTGTTGAACCTCCTCAGCTTCAGTGAGAGCACTGTGCCTCACCCCAACTTGTTGGCCCTTCTTCATGTTCACTCCTTCCCACAGTAGAATGCTGGGGGTCAGAGGCTCATTTTGAATATAATGGTGAAAAGCAAAATTCTCTTCCACATGCTAGAATTAAATCCGAGTCCATCCAGCCAACAGGCATTGGCTATGATTGCCACTCATTTGCATATATACCTAACGAATTTCTTCGCATTTTCTGTTTTGAAGATCACGTGGCATAACAATGGATGTTGGTCAGTCAAAATTTGAGACGGCAACGAAGGTAGTTACACTTTTGGATGCTCCAGGCCATAAAGACTTCATTCCCAACATGATTATGGGAGCAACTCAGGCGGACGTCGCTCTGCTGGTGGTGGATGCCACTAGAGGGGAATTCGAAACAGGTTTTGAAAGTGGTGGACAAACTAGAGAACATGCCCTGTTGGTACGGTCATTGGGTATGTGTAATTGTATGTTGCAACTGAAAGTACTGTTTGTAGTTTTAAGACATTCAGACACACATGGGGCCAGCACATGCCCTATAGCCCTGCCATTTTGCAAACACAAAAACAAATTGTTACACAACTTCTGGACTCAATTTCTGCTAGTTTAAAACAACAAAAGCAACTCCATTGTATGCAAGGCTCAGTACAGGTAATGCTCACACTGCTGATCATATGCATCAGTGTAGAAAACCCATTGAAAAGTGAACGGCATCTAAATATATTTACTGTTATTGGCAGTGGGACATTGTAATGTTACGATTCCCAGGTTATGTTAATCTGTTTCTTATGTTTCAATTTCAAAATCGCTTATTGTATTTTGATGAAATTTTATGTAGATAAAATTTTTAGTAAAATTAAATTTCTTGTTATAAGTCAGGCAGTAATGATCACTGCTTAACACAATAAACTCTGTTCATTTTAAAATGTACCATACTGAATGCTAGTCTAAATGAAAACATTTTGAACATTAAGACGCAGGAAGTGCTTTCTCTGTGAAATACCCTTTTTTCGCCCATAAAATGCAAGGTTTTGGAATAAATTTGAAAACAAAAAATCACACTTCCAAATTACACATGCAGTTTTGCAGGCAGGTTCTTTGTATGTTTTCTGCACCACATGATTCTTACAAATTATTCTTTGCATGGAACACCCACAAGTATATATCGAAAGTCACTGAATGGATTTCAGTTGAAATTTGATATCAGAGCCTTCACTAAAAGTGCACCTTTCCACCTTTTCTGCAATGTGACACAGTGTGGTTTAGTGCATGCATACCCATTCAACATTTTGAAAGAACTTGCTGTCTCCATGTTCAGTGTTCTACAGATTGTGTTCTCCTCTGAAGATGGAGGGAGCTTGCTGCTACTTGTCTACTAAACTATGCAACACCACATCCCAGAAAACAGTATTCATAATGTACCACTGATCTGATATCTTTCCACTTGCACTCTCTTCATTACTGTATGTATGTAGTAGTGTTGTATTCTCATATGTCTGTGACGCAGCTTCAAATCTCGGTAGGTGTCTGCCAGCTTGGTGTTGTGGTGAATAAGCTGGACACTGTTGGCTGGTCACAGGAGAGGTTTCAAGAGGTTGTAGGAAAACTTGGAGCATTTCTTAAGCAAGCTGGATTTAGGGAGTCTGACGTGACATTTGTTCCATGTAGTGGCCTCACTGGAGAGAACCTCGTTTCTCCTCCATCAGAGGACATGCTGCTACAGTGGTACAAGGGACCATGCCTTCTGGATGTTGTAGGTACGTCACCTCCAGTGGTATTATATTCTTTGTAGCCCATTGTCTTGTGTAAGACTAGTTCCTGTTAGTAATTTAATTTAGGTTTTATTTGTATTTCTGTTCCATATGTCGAATATATCAAGACACTAAATGGTGATTTTATGAGTTGTTTTGTATGACTGTGAAATACAGTCTTTTATTCTGTCCAAAGAATGTAAGTTAAAAGGGTTTGAAAATATTTGAAGGAGACATTTGAGCCAGTGCCCAGGTGACAGGATGAGAACTAAAGGAGGTTGAACCAGAGAAGAGGGGAAAATGGATCTTTAGGACTGACTTGTCCTGATGCTAATCTTGGATGTTTCTTTGATTATTTTGTTGCTGGGCTTCAGTGTCAGCATAACTGAACTTGTGGATTGCAGTTCTCAACTTTACATTAACCCTCTGAAGCTTAAAGTTCATCTGAACAATATTTAAAAATTCATTTCCTGCTGCATAGAAAAGACATTGCATCTCCATTACAAAGACCAGCTGGTTAATGTCTATTTTGAAAATCATACAGAACACATGAATACACTACAAGCAAAATTTAGTTTTTTTCTTAGTTATGGCAGGTGGCACATATAGATACCACTGTGCTTTAAAGGGTTTAACCAGATTGTAGGTTAGTTTGTAGGTTTTGGAAAGTGATGCATCAAGCTTGTATGTGTGTTTCCCTCATCACAGATAAATTTAAGTCTCCAGAACGACCCATCTCAAAACCATTCCGATTATCAATAAATGATATCTTCAAGGGAACGGGATCTGGCTTCTGTGTCTCTGGACGTGTGGAAACTGGAATGGTCCAGGTTGGGGACAAAGTTCTTGTCCAGCCTCAGAATGAAGGTGCAATAATAAAGGGTAAGTATTGCAGTAAGATGACACAGGTTGTGAGGCTGGAAGCTACATGCATTACACTACATGTTTCGACTTCAAGAGGTCATCCTCAGGTGTACGAACACAGCTGTATAATTACACGCAATCACATTCGTCTTCTCAGTTATTCGATCCTGTATCTTATTCAGGCCCATGCTCAAAAATATATCAAGTTCCTCTCACAAAACACAAGTTAAAATATTATTCTAAATGTCAAAATTTAAAATTTGTGAATCAAATTTCAATTCAGATCACTAGTTATGCTTTCACTTTCACTTGTTATTCAGTCACTTCCTACTTATGCTCATCACTGCATCAAGTTCACTTTAACTAGTTTAATTATATAATTAGTTAAAAGTTCAAATTTATTATATTGATTGCACTTTTCACTTTTTGGAGGTCTCACTGTTCTTCCACGCCCTCTGATGTTGCTGGATCTGTTACAGTCCTTGTCGTGATGGCTACTGATTAACAATTAACAATTAAAGTTTATAATAAAGTTTTAGTTTATGGACTTCTAATTTAATTAAGTAGTTGTATCGTGCCAGTTACTCCTTTCCTCGGAGCTTGGTAAGAAGGGCAGAAGTCAGTGCAGATTTGCCTTCATGTAAAAACAAATACAAATAATTATTTGTTCAACAGAAAATTTGTGTATATGGAGTCCACCCCCAGCCATGACCATCTCAGTTAAATCATGCTGATGGCAAAGTAATGGTCTTACCTCCAAGCACCAGGTCAGTTCTGTAGCTTAATGTCTACAGGCATGATAGACCATGGTGCTTTTGGTGACTTAAATAGTTACAATCATCCATGTGTGTACAAGAGCAACATATCTAGGTATAAATTGGAGAATTTACAAGGCTGCTGCAGTCATGCATCTTCAGCTGCCTGTAAGATAAAAGTATCAAGTTCATCTAGGGTGGATTTACTGAACATGCTTCTTGAGGAACCTAACCTTGTACTGTAAAAAGTTTGTTACATTTGAGCCCTTCTTATCAAGTATCGGGGATCTGAAACTTTGTGCCATCGCCCAGCAACTGAGATTACAATCTCTGGGACATGATGCTGTTAGTGTGGTAGGCATGTGCCAGTGCTTCGGAGGGACCTGCTGTCTACCAACATTGGTCCACTATAGCTTTATACCAGGCTTGTGGTCGTCACCTATCTGAAGTGTAACTGCAAGAATTACGTACAGATCCTTTATGCTCATTTACTGAGAATGTGTAACATCTGGTTTACTTCTTGCTTGCGCATCTTGTTGCATATATCAGTTGGGCTCTTGTACAGTTACTGCCCAGTTGGTCGGAACATACAGCAAGAAGAAATCACAGGGTTGCAAATTTTCAGTAATATTGTGAGCAGTGGCTTTGTTCTCCCAAACTGAATCTTCCACTAGCAACACTATCCTGTCCTTACTTTTTCTTCCCTGTTCATAAAACTGCTTCATATGCGCACACAGAAAATTACACATGGATGGTCACACTCTGCCACCGATAACTCTGACGTAAATCTAATCACAAACAATTTTTATTTCCTCACACATATTTTACCTTCCCCCCATATATTTTTCATGTTTGTGTAACAATCCTGTTACAGAAGCTGAAAATGGAATCAGAAGGAAAATATACCTGCTGTCTGGGTTCAGAGTGTCAGCAAATTGTTGCATGTGATTAGGATAGCTATACGCACAGGACACATGGACTCTTTATACAGATAATATTGAAACCTTTCACAGTAAAATCCCATGCTTTCTTTGGGCTAAGCACATATACACAGGGCACAAGAAGGGCTCCTCAAAAAGGGATGCAGGACTGTCAATATATCGGACGTTCAGCCGCTTGCCGGTCACTCACTCGGGTGTTGATATGTCTGACATTCGCCCCTTAAAGGTTAATATTCACTGCTGTGGGAACTTTATTTGCACTTCCCTTGTTGTTACCTGGCTACAGTTTCAACACAGAATTATAGCAGTTTAGTTCCAATGCTGAAGCAAACAGTGGGAGAATAATTATAGCATAGTATATATAATCATTTTCAGCTCTGAGTATCGATGATGTGGCTGTGCAAGTGGCATATGCTGGCGATCAAGTAAGTGCGACCTTGTCAGGGATTGACATGCAGAATGTTTCGGTGGGCTATATCCTGTGTGACCCAACGCAGCCCATTCCGGTCACATCTCATTTCGAGGCTCGCATTGTTGTCTTCGATACCAAACTGCCCATAACGAAAGGATATTCAGTAAGTTCTGTAAGACTGTTGTTAATACAGTTAACCTCATAATCTCTGCTCTTCTCAACTTGATTTCTTAATGAAACATGCTCTGTATGATAGAACACACAGAGCATACATAATCTGAAGCTGACAACTTCGTAGTAGAAGCACGTGCTTATATCATTAACTAGTCTGACATCCAGTATATAGTGAAAATTACTCTGCAATTAATAAATAATTACAGATGAACAGCATTACTGCACATAAGGAATGTGTAGCTAACTATCCGAACAACAAGGAACGAGTGAAAGTTGTGTTGACTAATAGAGGCTCCGTTCTGCGTTCATTGCACAGGTGATTCTCCATCACCAGTCATTACTTGAACAGGCTGTCATCACGAACCTGGTGGCACAGTTGCACAAGAGTTCTGGAGAAGTTGTCAAACGACGACCACGATGTCTGATGCGCAACTCCAATGCTGTTGTTGAGCTTCAAACGTCCCACCCTATTTCTATTGAGCTGTACAAGGACATCAAAGAACTTGGGCGATTCATGTTGAGAGTTGGAGGAGTCACAGTTGCCGCAGGCCTCGTTACGCAAGTAAGTAAACTGACTGTTATCCTCTTCTCACGACATGACAGGACAGACCAGTATGGTTTATAAGCATTTGGTGCGACTCCTGAATCAGGGATTGGCCTGTCAGAATTTTTTTCCCAAGGAAAACACAGCACAAAACAACACAGGAGAATAGCATACAGACATTCTGATCAAGTAGGATGCAAACCCCTGATTCCAGTATTTGACTGGTATGGGAAAGCACATGTGTTATGCCACAAAATCATTGTGGTAAGCTGAGTATAAAATGTGCTCAGAGATTAGGAGTAAGACACAGTAATGTACATTGACACTGTATTGCAACTCAGGTGGGCTACCACTAGCTTCTCACTGTGCAGGTCTGGGTTGTGCTCCAGGGTAGCTCAGGTGGGATCTTTGGAAATGTGAGTGAGATTGGTACCAGGCTTCAGTGTCCCTCTGTGAATGCTGCCCACGTTAGCTGGTTCCTTTAGTAATGGGCTAGAGGCTGAATGACCAGGGTTCAATTCCCGGCAGCAACGAGAGATACTTCTCTATTCCACAGCATCCACATCACTTCTAGGTCCCACCAGAGTCCTATCCTGTGGGCAGCAGGGCTCTTTCCCCACAGACAAAACACCTGGGTCATGAAGCTGACTGCTCAACTCCATCTAGTGCCGAGGTCAAGCATGGTGGAGCTATACCACCATTCCACCCAAGTGATTGAGCAAAGGGACAAGTAATGACATCATGGAACAGTAAAGCACTGATGTTACAGTCATCACAGGGACCTGGTCTCTTCCTTACCTGTGATCATGTACTTTCTGTGTCTAAAGTGAACACAGCTGGGCAGTTAATAACCTTTTTAACATACTTGGACTTGACACCATTCTGTCCTACTGTGAATTAAAGAGCTAACTAAACTGGATGTGTATTTACAGATATTTTAATGCAGGCCAAGGGAACTGACGCTGCTGCAGAAGTCACTGAAAAGTCTCTCAAAGTGAAGACTGGGGTCTGACTACCAGATACTGTCCTTATGTTGCATAATTCCTTAGTATTTGGTATGCGAAACACAAGTGCAGTAGTGTCTCTTTTAACAGAATGACTCTCTTCATATGCCAGTGTATGTAATAAAAGATGCATGGACTGTATTCATATGTGGTATTTATTTATGCTTCTCTATGTGTTTACCTATACAAATACATCCTCTTTGTAACATTTAAAAAGAAACTGCATTTTCGTCTTGATGTCTTCTGGTTCATGACATCGTCTAGTTTGGTAGGTCATTTCCATCCTGCCTCCATCTCGGTGACGAAGAAGTGTTCTCGGAAATGCAGGCATCCACCTGCCAGACTACACATGTAACACCTCGTAAGCATGCAATGCGGATCTTCGTCAACCTTGAAAACCTCAGATATTAAAGAACATGTTCCTGTAACTGAACATCTTCTCCTCCTGTATTTAACAGTGCAGCGCCAACTGCTTACATCATGTAATACTGATGAGGTAATACTATTACGGTGGTAAGTTTGGCTGTTTCAAGTCACTACAACAACACCTGTGTGCAGGGTACTAGGAGATTTGAGGCTCTTATGGTGCTGAATATCAGGGTTTTGTGAATTATTCCAGGATTCAAACCATGTAGTTTTGTACGAACCCACTGCCTCCATGTTCAGGCTACCAAGATAGATGTCATTATATCCAACAAGAACATAATCTTCACCCTTTCTCTCAGTTCATTCTCAACCTAATAAACCACTGAATATGGGGCAGTACGCCATGTCCAATGTCTCTCCTTATCGTCGTACAGCTGTGGCAGAAATTGGTCCTTGAAAAAATGTCGAGTGAAATGCAGTGATTGAAAATCAAAATAAACACAGAGTTACAATGATGTAACACATGAAAACGGACATCATCGGGTAACTATCTGAAGACAAATTAATGCACTTGAAAGACACCAAAGAAGAGATGAATTGTACATGGGCAAAATAGAATCAAGAACTAGAATGAACAAGAATAAAATAAGTATTTATAGTTGTGGAGGTATAACGCATTCCTGCCAAGAATCAAGCCCCGATTCCTTTGTCATTCAGCCCCTAGCCCATCATTATTCTGACTAAGCTGTCCCCCCCACTTTGTAAACTACGGAAACACTAATCTACATGCATTTACCCACAGTATTCAGACAGATGAAAACCTACTTCATTTGGCTATTACATTTCCAGTGAAGACTGGCTTCATACACACCTGATTCCTTAGGATAGTGTGGGGCTGACTTAATGGTGACCACTTTGTATTCAGGATGTGCAATCAAATGGCAAATAATATCATGAATTCTGCTTTGCTCTGACCTTTCCATGGGTTGAAATAATGATCCAATCTTTAGTGCAATTAAATCATTTAAATCATGAAGATCTGTGTTTTTATTTTTCAGCAAATTTTCGCTCATTTTGTGGAGATTATCATTTTCAAAAATTACAAACATATCAGAGACATCATACAAATTTGCAATTGTAAGTACAGTATTATAATTCTGAATGACGACTTCTCCTGATCTGTATGGGAGAACAAGAGCATTTAGAAGGACTTTTGTTGGAAATTCATCTCGGTAACTTTCCATGAGGTAACTCCCCACTCCTGAACCTGTTCCACCAGCAGAGCTGAGAAGGCTTAATGTAGCAAGCAACCTATCACACTTCTCAACTTCCTTTCGTACACCTTCCATAAACATCTCTTCAAATTGTGGCCCTTTCCTTCCATGACCATAAGCCCAGTTGTTTCCAGCACCTCCACCATTATGTGATATAATATTTGTCTCATCATATTTCCATAATGCACCTATATCACAATTCTTCTTTCTTACCTCAGTTAACACTTTTTGTTCCGTATCCACTAATACAGCTCAGGCTACATATTTATCTTCGTCAGGTTTATTCCTAAACCACCTCTCTTTACTTTCGTTAGAATAGCATGAATTCGTATTCATAACATCTTGTGACAGAACTGAAAACAGGTGGTGACCAATTTGATTGCCACACTGTCCAAACTGTAAGGTTATTACCGACATCATACATTGAAATACAGAAAACCACGGACACAATTCCTACTGCATTGTGCTGTTCATACACTACGTAAAGTTAACCCGAGAACGCACAACTATTGTTCATTGACCATTAACTACAGTTTAACAAAACCTAAGAAGATTAAACAAACCATGTTTCTTTACGACTCTAACTGCAGTTAATTCCCTTCTGTTAGAAACCCCCACAATCTAGTGGAAACTAAATAATAATTTAATAAAATTTAAACACAGGATTATGCTCCTTCTTTTAGATGACCAACCAAGGCGCGCGGATCACACATTACAAACTTATGAGCGATTGGTTCACATACTTTCTGGCCAAGGTTTCTAAATACACACCGACAACTGCCGATTTGATTCCGTACCGTCTCAGCCGTCTCAACTGTCTCAGCGGTTGCAGCCGGCGCAGTTAATTGTGGGCATCGTGGTGATGCATACGGACGGTAATTGTAAGCAGTTGATGGAACACTTTAAGTTTTAGTGTCGAAGTGGGAAGTTTGGAATTAAAATGGCGCGTGTAATCGGAGATACCATGGAATTGACAATCCCGAGTGACAACGAAGAGAATCTAAATAGATTGCAGCAACAGCCTTCCGGGCCTGTTCTTGTCGTTCTTGTGGAGGGTTCCCAAGACGTGCCCTCACGGCTAACTTACAACGGACCCGACACTGTCAAGCAGATTGTTCTAGTTCCTGTTGGAAATAGCGGTTTCAACGGCGGCATACAACAGGCTATCTATGCGGCAGGCAGTTGCACTGCTCCGCCCAGCAACACATCGGAGGGTAACGTAACGAAACTTATGCATGTCTTGAATCTAGCTCTGAGCAAGCTGGCCAATTCGTTAATGCTTTCCGACTTCTACTGGTGAGGTTCCCACTTCCATTCTCGGCCCGGACCGATCCTAACTGAGGTACTCCTTAGCCCCACCGGGAGAGTGCTCGAATAAATGCCTCAAAGATCACCACCGGTTCCTTCTGCATCCTTTCTAATTCATTATTAACGAGCGCCCTACCATTCGTTGTCTCGTTGCATAAGTGACAGATAAATAAGAATTATAATAGTAGTTCCCATCAATTCAAATAAATGTTCAACTGTGTAGAGGTCATTTATAATAATCCCATATCTCTATACAATAAAATCGTTACAGTGCTGCGTGAGATGATGGTAAAACTGCTCCAACAAGGAATTGAGTGTTTGTAGCATAGTTGGTTGAGGCACTATGCTACAAGCTGGAATGACTTTGGTTCCAGTCCCAATGAGATCATTGGATTGTTTCAATTAAGCTAATCCTTCCAGACGTGCTATGGCCCTGTGGTCAGTGCAGCCTCAAACAGAAATTAGTACCAGGAATATTCCTGGTATATTCTGAGGGGTAAAAAGCGGCCAGCGCATAGGGCTGACAACTTAGCCGCCATCTACGAGCCGATTGTCTAGAAAATGTGGGAACCTCAACATCTCACAACCCTATGGACCTCCATGGCCTGTTGCAGGGATACCTTTACTTTTACTATGCACCGATGAAGTGCTTCTTGTGGATGGTTCTAGTTTCAAAGGAAGCATATTTTCTTATTCAGTCTTGGAAATTTTGTCTTAAGCCCGGCTCACTTATTGTGAAGTTCATGGTGCATGACGTGAAACCGCAGTAATTTTCTCTCCGAGTTCCCCCTGCTAATCGAAATCCCACCATTGCTCCATAATCATATATCACCTGGGCCCAAAGTGTGCGATAGACCTCATCAGGCAGCACATTATCACATACTCCATCTTTGAGTTTGGGGTTTCATGTCTGACCCTGAACGTGGCAGGTTAGTGGGTGGAGGAATAACTTGCTCCAGTGCTATTGTGTGTTAAATTACATACAAATTATTTACACTTCGTTAACGTGACCTACTTGTGGTGTCACTTCTTCATCTTCCTTATTTGGTGTCTGAGTGCAGAATGCGCTTAAATAAAACCTATAGTAAAGTCCGTATACGTAAACATTTGTCTGATAAGTTATCTACCCGAAATGGTGCGAAACAAGGTGAGGGTTCATCTCCATTTCTCTTAACTTTTCTTTACAATATGCCTTTAGGAAGGCACAGAGAAACCAGGTTGGACTGAAATTAAATGGGACACAACAGATGCTTGTCTGCTGATGATGTGAATCTACTGGGAGATAACATACATGTACCTACCATAAAGAAAAACACAGACTTAACTGACGCTAGTAAGGAGGTTGGTCTAGAAGTAAACACAGAGAAAACTAAGTATATGTTGCTGTCTCATCACCAAAATGCAGGGCAAATTCATGACATAATATAGAAAGCAGATGTTTTGAAAATGTGGCACAGTTCAGATGTTTGGGAACGACGATAACAGATCAAAACCTGTTTCAGTAGAAAATTAAGAGGAGATTGAACTCGGGTAATGCTTGGTACCATTCAGTCCAGAACCTTTTGTCTTTTCGTCTCCTGTCTAAAAACAGAAAACTTAGAATACACAAAACTGCAATCTTGCCTGTGGTTGTGTATGGGTGTGAAACTTGGTCTCTCACATTAAGGGAGATTGGTGGGAAATCAAGAAGGAATGAGACAGCTAGTAAGACCAAGATGTAGGTGGGTGGGCAATATTGAAATGGATCTTAGATAGATAAGGTGTCACGGTATGGATTGGCTTGATGTGCCTCAGGATAAGGAGCAGTGGGCGGCTCTTGTGGACACGGTAATGAACCTTTGGGCTCCGTAAAATGTTCAGTAGTTCTTGAGTGGCTGCTCAACGGGGGGCTTCTGAAGAAGGGCTCATCTCCATGGAGTGAGTTACTGTCTAAGTACAGCCCATGCTGAGGCTGCATACCAGTGAGATTCAAACTGAATACCTCGAGCCTTCACGAGATGTGTACATGTTTCAGCGAATCTCCTGCAGCGTGAGGCTGAGACAAACCACAATGTGCCGGGCGGGGGCCAGGAGGAAGTGCCACCGCACTGGCAAGGCAACTGTAAGAACTGCAATGTCAAGGTAGCCAAAAGGCTGCTGAGTGTGATCATGATCGCCCTTTTTACCTCATTTGCCACTCTCGTGGTCAAACTGATCATAAAAGGGAGCAATGTGCTGGAGAAGGGGATAACCGAGGGTAAGTGACGCATCTGAACATTGTGTTTCGACACAGACAGAAAGTTTACTTGCATAATCTGACCATTGCCATCTGTTCTGCCCGAAATTGCAGCTCAGTAGCACCGGTCAGCTAGTTTATGTGTGTATGTACCGTAGAACGCCGATTATCCGAATTGCCAGTTAACTGAATCACTGAAAACACAGAATGCATGTCCTAAACAAATATGATTATTGCACTTTCCAAATAAAGTGTTCAAAAATGTTAATTTACAATTGCATTTATCAATTTTTCATATTTCACCCGTCCTAAAAGTTTTCTTTGGTGTATTGTATTATAATAGTACAGTACATTATAAGAGAGTTTTTCATGGATAAGAAGTTAATCCAATTAACTGAATTTTAGATTTCCGAACCACCTTTCTCAGTAATTAATTCGGATAACAGGCATTCTACTGTGTCTATTTGAACGTGGCATAGCTCAGGCAGTTATGTGCTGCCTTCTCACTGCGCAGCCACTGGTTCAAAACCAGGTCTCTTCATTTGACAGTCATGATTGGTGAAATTGCATTGGAACAACCTTTCTTTGAGTTTCTTCAGTTTTTCCCCGCTGATCATCCGCCCATCATTGCACACTGCTCCCCCCATGATGTGTGCATAGATAATGAATTGGAAAGGGTATGGATGGAAGTGGTGGTGGGCTGTTTTGAGCTACTATCCAAGAATTTACTGGAAGAAAGGAGGAAACCCTTGAAGAACATCAAGCAGAATAGCTGGTAACTGAGCCCAAATGCGAACCCCAGACCTCCAGAATATGATAGCAGTTCTGTTGGGATAGAGCAGTGGGTATGTTTCCCACTGCATAGAATATGGAGGGCTGATAATTCTTATTCTAGGGTAGACTGTGCTATTCTGAAGCAACTGCAGGCAGCAGAGCCAAGCAGTGGGATAGCTTCACTTTCTCCTTCTCATTGCCACATACCTCAAAATACAGGGTCTGATGTTCGTACTGTTCATAGGTTCTGGCTCCACCAATTTTTCTGGGGGACCTGATATCTGATCCAAGCAGTACTGGCGAGGTCTGGAAGCAACAAGTGAGAGTCCATTGCTACACTCAACTCCTGTTGTGATAGTGTCCCACACAGAGACACAGGAGTGCCACAATTGTGACACGTGTTCAGAGACAGTGCAGATGATCCAGACAAGTCACATTGGCAAGGAGGGCGCACGAACTGCTGCTGAAATAGTGGACGAAGGTCACTATTTCCTTATCGGAGGAGATGGGAATATGCATGAGGGTAGAGGCTGGGATGCTATGTCCTTCCACAAGAGACCAGAAGGTGTACTGGGAATTTTAATAAACACGAATTAACAGACAGACAGATAGAAGGAGCTCAGGAGCTTCTTGCACTGGGAGTGAAGCTGAGGAAACTGTCACAACCAGACCATAGATACTGACAGTCCAGGGAAATATGTTGTTAAAGTGATCAAGAAGTGGCCACACTGGTCACCCACTTATCTGATTATGTGACGTTCATTTAAATATATTACACAGTTACACAGGTTGTGTTTATGTGATGCCGGTGGAGACATGCACTCGCCTGGTATGGTGTTCACATGGGCCAGGCCTTCTACACATCACTTTGTAGACTCTGCAGATGTCTTGCTTACTTAAATATCACTGTATGCCTAGTCTGCTGTCAGTCTCACTGCCGTAACGCACGTGACTATTATTCTTATTCCACATTCATCTAGTTGTGTAACAGGCACAATACAGCTTTCCCCCCCCCCCCTTCCTCATACTGTACGCAATGTGAAGAAGCGTGTGGTATCTTCATGTTTTTGGTTGCAACATGTGATTAGCATGTATAAGCAAGAGTGGCTGACAGATTTTTTTACAAGTAACCTGGATAGTAGACGAAAGGATGTTTGCAAAAAGTGACACTGGGACAAAGCTTCCTTATCATTCCTACCAAATGGCTTTGTGTCCCTCTGTGAATGCTACCCACGTTAGCATGGTTCCCTGTTCTGCATTGCAGCGACATTTTACTGCATTTTCAATTGCCAGTTCCAATTTGCAATTCATATTAAAAAGAAAACTGTTTAATGTTTTTCATTTTCAAATGGAAGACATTGCTGTGAATAATATTTCTTCTAAAAGAACACTTATAATAGAGCCATGATAGCTCGGTAACTTTAGTAATGGGCTAGAGGCTGAATGACCAGGGTTCAATTCCTGGAAGCAACGAGAGATACTTCTCTATTCCACAGCATCCACATCACTTCTAGGTCCCACCCAAGTCCTATCCCTTGGGCACCAGGGCTCTTTCCACACAGACAAAACACCTGGGCCATGAAGCTGACTGCTCAACTCCATCTAGTGCCGAGGTCAAGCATGGTGGAGCTATACCACCATTCCACCCAAGTGATTGAGCAAAGGGACAAGTAATGACATCATGGAACAGTAAAGCACTGATGTTACAGTCATCACAGGGACCTGGTCTCTTCCTTACCTGTGTTCATGTACTTTCTGTGTCTAAAGTGAACACAGCTGGGCAGTTAATAACCTTTTTAACATACTTGGACTTGACACCATTCTGTCCTACTGTGAATTAAAGAGCTAACTAAACTGGATGTGTATTTACAGATATTTTAATGCAGGCCAAGGGAACTGACGCTGCTGCAGAAGTCACTGAAAAGTCTCTCAAAGTGAAGACTGGGGTCTGACTACCAGATACTGTCCTTATGTTGCATAATTCCTTAGTATTTGGTATGCGAAACACAAGTGCAGTAGTGTCTCTTTTAACAGAATGACTCTCTTCATATGCCAGTGTATGTAATAAAAGATGCATGGACTGTATTCATATGTGGTATTTATTTATGCTTCTCTATGTGTTTACCTATACAAATACATCCTCTTTGTAACATTTAAAAAGAAACTGCATTTTCGTCTTGATGTCTTCTGGTTCATGACATCGTCTAGTTTGGTAGGTCATTTCCATCCTGCCTCCATCTCGGTGACGAAGAAGTGTTCTCGGAAATGCAGGCATCCACCTGCCAGACTACACATGTAACACCTCGTAAGCATGCAATGCTGATCTTCGTCAACCTTGAAAACCTCAGATATTAAAGAACATGTTCCTGTAACTGAACGTCTTCTCCTCCTGTATTTAACAGTGCAGCGCCAAC